AGGAGATCAGACGGCCAAGGACGTGGCGAGCACGAACCGCGATGACCTCGATTCACTGTCGAAGGACTTGGACAAAGAGTCCGTGAAGATCCCCCCCAGCTTCCAGCGAGCCCTTTGGGATCGGGCCGTTGCCGACTGGAAGAACGGGTCTGACTGGGGAACGCAAAAGGGCACCGAGGGCATGTTGGCGTTGGTCTTGCCGTGGGGCCCATCAGAGGAGTCGGTCAACGTGGATGAGCCCCAGAAGTTCAGTTGCCTTGCCCCCGTGCTGTCGCAGATGGAGTTGCCGCCATCGGAGAAGGCGACCCTGTTCAAGGACACGGTCGTCAAGAGCATCATCGTATCCTACCTCCAAGCGGGCAAGTCCATGCTGAAAGAAACGCTGGAGATGGTCTCGTTGCTGATCGCGCAGATCAAGGCCATGCCCGTGTCATGCGAGGTCGAGGTCGACAATTCAAGCAGCGAGGTGATGCTGGCGCTGAAGCTCTTGAACACCATTGGTGGGTCCCAGGTCGACACTTTGTCCTTGGTGCAGGTCGACAAGTTCGTCAAGGCAAAGGCCACGACGATCGAGGGCTCTTTGTGCGCCAGCTTGCGCGCACTTCCTTTCTGGCACGAACGGCTGCAGCAGTACTTGAAGTATTCACCATCGCTGAAGTACTGGTGCCCCATCATCAAGGACTACCAGCGGTCACTCTCAGAGTCGCCGAACGACTTGACGCTCTTGCTGCAGTGCATCTCCGACGTGAGTAGGATCGAGAAGGTTTTGCCACCGTCCGAGATCACTTCCTACAAGGAGTGGGTCAAAGGGGTCGTCGATAGATTTGTGACTGCGGCGCTGCAGGTATCGTCTCAAGGTCTTGCGCTTCCAGGGCCGCCTGACGATGCAGAGAATGTCGTGAAGATGGCGGTGGGGGTCTTTGGAACTAATGTCTCTTGGCAGCAGCTACTGGAGGCCTTGACGAACCAGAGGTCGACGAGCCATGGGCGCGCGCTCTTGGGCAAGTTCATCGGGAACATCGGCACCTACAACTCGAAGAGCTTGCAGTACGCCGCTGCGAACTTCGGGATGATCGAGGGGCTTCGCGGGCTCGCCTCGGATAGTCATTTAGAGAGGCTTCGTGATTTCAGCGGGACGGCTTTGGATTGCATCTTGGGGAAGAGAGGCACCTGGCCAACGTTCCACGCCGCCACCGACTTCGATGCCGCCTGGAAGTGGGTCAATTGCGCGTCCCGTTGGTTTGAGCCAGTGGACCTCATGGGCCCCGACTGCCCTTGGGAGTCGTTCCGCAAGTTACTCGACAAGGTCAAGGTCCACTTCGCGCTGGTGAAATCGCATCGGGAGATTACCGGGGAGAACGACATCCTCAAGGACCATCTCGCGGAGACCCCTTTGCCGCTCGTGGGCGCATTCCTGGGTTTGCTCGAACAGGCCTCCCATTTGAAGGCCGACGATTCTACTGAGGAGAAGCTCATCAACGACACGTTCATGGAGGGCTTCGAGGCCGCCGCGCTGCAGCTCAAGCTGCAGATGTTCGAACAGATCACAGGGGCTGGCCTGCAGGCGTTCGTGGCGGAGTCCGAGGACGTCCCCCTGAGCAAGGTCAAGGGTGGGCCTGTCGACAAGCTGTGGTCAGAGGGCTTGGCCGATGCTGCGAGCATCGAGGACGCCATCGCTGCGTTCGATCAGCACCTCGCGCCTGCGATGTCCTTTGACAGCTTCAAGGAGGAGGTGAGCCGCAAATTCCAGCAGCTGGACGCCCTCACTGAGACGGAGCAGAGGTTCGGCATGGCTGTGCCGCCTGAAAAGAAGCCCGAAGCGATGGTGGCCATCTGCCGCCGCGCCGCCCAGACGCTCTGCGAGTACCAGGCCCTCTGGGGCATCAAGAAGGTGGGCAGCAACGCGGTGGCCGTGAAGAAGTTCATGATGACAGTGGTCGCAAGCCAGGGGAAGTTCGGAGTCGAACAGTTGGTCAAGCCAGTGGACAACGCCGTGCAGCGCGCCATGGCCATGGAGTCGATCTTCCAGTGAGCGCAGCGGAGCGGCACTCTCGAGGAGGAGCCGTGGGCAGGATGGTGCGATGTCGGCGGGAGCGACCAGGAGGAACGAGGATGTGGCAAGGTGGCAGTGAGGAGTCACGGAGATGAGATGATCAGGGCACCGAGGACCACTCATTCCATATCTCAGGGGGGGCTCGTTCGTGCCCACGTTGCCCGCGCGATCTGCTGAATGTCGGACTCCCTAGAGTTTTCTGGGCAGCAGATTGGCGCGCCAGCCTCCCGCCCGAAGCAGGACCAGGACATGTGGCCGCCAGGCAACCCCTGTGTCGTCATCTCTGGCCGCTCTCGTCTGCTCTATTCGTTCTCACGTCCTGCTGCCGCCTCCATTCATTGAGTTGCGTCCTGATGCGGCTACCCCAGCTCATTATTCGCCGCGGTTGTTCGGCAAGTAGGGAGTCATACATATAACTGCCTTCGGCTTATTCCGCCGCTGTGATTGGGCTGTGGGTAAGCTGCCTTCGGGATACTCGTTTGGGCGTCTTGGGGTAGCTCTCGGTGGCGTCTTGAATGTATCGTCGAATCATCCGAAGGCCTTGACCCGATTCGGGCCTCCCTGGTGGGGTGCCGCATAGTTTGCTGACGTGGTTTCCCATTGGAACCAAACGCGGGGATGCAACGGCGGCCGCCAAACACTCGGGCCCCAAACCGTGCAACGTTCAGCGATTAACGTTGGGATGGTGGTGGTGGTGGGCGCGGCGCGCCGCTAGGGTGTGGCTGTGCGTGTGGTGGTTGTTGGCGGGCGTGGGCTTCATTCCCATCGAGTGTTTGCCGAGCGCGTCTCTTGCAATGTCGCGCAGACTTGTTTGGGGCCCACGCGCCTCAATACAATAACACCTCATGCGCGCTAACGCGTTAGCATCACATGCCTGCACGGCCCGCTGGGGGCGGCGGGCTTTTACCACCCATAGCCTTCGAAATAGCATTCGAATCCTCTCAAGGGGCCGCGGTATGTACGTACAACTCGGCTAGTTGTGACACTATTGTTGCGGGGTGGTGGGTGCGATGTTTGTTGTAGTAAGAGTACGGGGGGGCTTGTGTAGGTGATATCAGCCAAGTGGCCGAGGGGTTTGCGTAGCTTTAACGAGGTATACGTGTAGCCCGAGGGATATGTCTAGCCTAAGGGATCTGTTTGTGGTAGAAGGGCCTGAGGGGCACGTGTAGCCTGAGGGGTATGTGTGTTGATGTGGTGTCTTCGAACCGTGACGCGTGGCCTTGTACCGATTCTTAATTAAACGTGTTGCACCATTGTCGCTCTTGTTTGGAAAACGCGGTTCTTGCCATCCAGATCTCGGCCGATGTGTAAGTTTTACAGGATATACGATTCTCTCTGCGACGCGCGGGTCTCAAGGTTGAACTATCATGTGTTGATAGGGCACCCGCGTGTAATATCTACGATGTGTGCAATGTTGGTTGGTGTATTTGCACTGGGGCCCGTTGACCTCATAGTTTTCGGTGGTGCTTGTATTGGGCCGCCGCACAAAGCTAACATCAGACCTCCTGGGCCAAATCACAAAACGCCACAGCCAATTTGAATAGGGTCGGTGAGAAAAAACATTGCGTATCCGATTTAAATAGTATTTTAAAGCAATTTTCAAGTTGTGGCGGAAATCATTTTTTTGTCGATTTAAAATCGTTTTGGGCGTTTTCACCAAATTCAGATCCTTCCACCGCTCGCAAGTTACAAGGAGGAGTCCCCGATGTCGAGCGGTGTTCGGTGGCGGCGGCGGCGGGCGACGACGGCGACGACGCTGCTCCTCCAACATCTGCCACGTGTTCGTTCTCTGGTGTTGCTTGAAGACGCCCATTGGCTAGCCTCGCCATCTCGACTGACCCCAGTTGTGATCGCTCAAACGTTGTGATACACACGCGATCGCTTGGGACGAAGCTCTGCGGACTGCTCAAGAAGGTCGTACTCCTCCCCCTTCCCCTGCTTGTTTGTTCTTCTGCTTGTCCTCCTCCTTCTCCTCCTGAGGAACGAGAGTGGGGTGGGGGAGGGGGAGCAGCGCAAAGGGAGGAGACGGGAGGAAGGGGGAGGAGGGGAAAGGTGAGGCGAGAGGACGGGAGAGAAGGGAGGGAAGGAGGGAGGGAAAAGGAGGGGGGGGGGCGGGAGAGGGAGGGGGGAGAGGGAAGGAGAGGGAGAGCTAGGTGCGGTCGGGCCACATCTGGCGTCCCAGCCCTCCAGCCCACAATGTTTTGTAGGGCTGTTTTTGCTCGATCCGCAGAGCGGGGGGTCCTAGAAGACCTTAAACCCACAATGGCAGCGCATGTGCTGCACGATCGGCACAAGGGGGGTCTTCTGCAGACTGGAGCGGGAAGCGGCGGCGGAGGAGCAGGAGGATGATCAGACGGAGAAGGTGATGGGGGATTTTTTTTAGCTCAACGCCAACACAGCCTTGGTGAAAAACATAACCAGCAGCGGCGGCTGGGAAACCACTGCTGGCAGCGAGGGAGACCTCACTGAAAGGGTACCTCCAGCAGCCCCGTGGGCTAGGAGGCACTGGAAGGTGATGGGGGAAGGAGGAGGAGGAGCATGGAAAGGCGGACGAAGGGGAAAAATGGCGGGGCAAAGACGAACAGAGAATTCGGGTCCAGAAGTGTGGCCCGCGCTGGGGCGAGAGCGCCGCGGCGGGAGCACAACCCGGCGGGCGGCGCCAGCGCAGAGGCGAGGAGTGGTGAGGGCAGGCGTCGACGGGGGGCAGGTGCCGAAGGGGAGGACGAGGGCGAGCGGCGACGACGAGCGACGCAACGATGCAGCAGAGCAGGGCTCTGAGCTCTGGGGTGTCAACGCGCAAGAGAGCCAACAACAAGTCCTCGCCGAGGACCGCCGACCGCCGCCGCGGCGCTGCCGGGGGGGCGCCGAGGGGCCGCCGAAGGCCGCCAGGGGCCGGCGAGGCTGCACCGCAAGCCGCGCCCGAAGGCGGCGGCGCTGAGCGCCGCGCGCAGCAGCAGCGTCTTCGCCCGCAGCATGGAGGACTCGTTGCTCCACAGCAGCCGCACCTCGCACGCCCTGTGCGCCGGCGCCGCAGCCTCTGGGGGCACCGGGGTGGCTTGCCCAAACATCCGAAGCCCTGCTCGTTTCCCATCACGCTGGCTCCCCGACAGTCCAGAGACCCGTTCCCTCAGGGCGGGCTTCTCCTCCCGAATCGCTTTGGACAGTCCTGGGGCCCGGCAGAGGTCCCTGGTGGCCGAAAGCTGCCAAAAACCTTCCGTCGTGACATCTCCACGACGCGGGCAAGAGGAGGAGGAGGAGGAGGAGGAGGAGACAAAGGAGAAAGAGGAAGAAGAAAACGAGGAGGAGGAGGCGGAGAAAGACGAGGAAGAGAAAGAGGAGGAGGAGGAGGAGGAGGAGGAGGAGGAGGAGGAGGAGGAGGAAGAAGAGCAGGAGGCCGAGGATAAGGAGGAGGGGGGCACGGGGGTGACGTTAACTTGGGCGTCGAGCTGCGCACAAGCAGCCTCCCAGGTAGCCCATGGCCAGCCTCAGCAGGCCCCCCGAGTAGTCTGGGGCGGTCTCAACACCGCGAACCCTGGGGCGCGGAGCGCCACGAGGGCGCCGGCCGGAGGCGGCGCCACGGTGTTGCCAACTCCCCGGACTACGCGGGAGACGTGTGGAAGCCTGCGGTGACCACCTGGGTGGGCTGTCTGTGCGCGCAACCCTGAGCCTCACCGACAGGGGTGACGTGGAACGGGTGGGTGAGGTGGGCATGAAGAACGAGGAGGAGGACGACTACACTTCTCGTGAGCTGCCCATGGGCAGGGCCGGGCGGCGTCATCAAGACACGGGCCGCTTCCGCCACCGCCTGCCCAGGAGCAGCAGGAGCAGGCGGGCCGAATGGTGTCCAGCAAAAAACTGAAAACATGTTTTACCTGCGCTATGTGCGGGGCAGCCGCAGTCAGGGTCTGGACACTGCGATGAGGACGAGGTGGACGAGGGACCGTTGCACTGGTTTGTTCAATCCGCGGGCCCCGAAGAAAACTCGGCCCCTCTCGCGGGGATCTGTTTTGCTGCAGCGACCGAAAACGACCCCCAGAACCGGAAACCATGGAAGAATGCCGGGATCCATCAAACTCAATCCGCCTGATGTCTGGGGAGGGAGGGAGGGAGGGAGGAGGGGAAAGGGGAGGGAAAGGGGTTCGAGGATCACTGGCTTGGGATATTCCCCAGGCAGCGACTGCGCTAAATTGAGGTTCGTACTCTCGAGGCTGCTTAGCCGAGACCCCCCCAGGCTGGGGGTGTTGTCCAGGCTTGGGTCCTCGTTCATTCTGACACTTCTTTGCAGTCTGCGATCGATGATAGAGCGTGGCGCACTCGCCCCGCACGCACAACGGATTCTGCTCGCCCAATTGCTGCTCCTCCCACAAGCGCAGCCGCACACGGGCTCCTTCGGCCCTGGCAAGACTGCTGGTTCCACTCTACCATTCTGTTTCATCTGCAGTCCCGTGGACTAACTGAAAGCTTCCCTCGGAGCGCCGAGGGGACGAATTCTGTGCTCCGCCAGGCGCTCACCAAGCGCTTGGCTGAGGCAGCCAGGCCTCTGGAAGGGGTGCCCTTCCACCTCAGCCTCGAGCCTCTGGACTCGGGACCCACGGGAGGTAAGCTCCGTGAGACTTGAGCCAAAATGGCTACGGCCTCCTCCTCCTCCTCCTCCTCCTCCTCCTCCTCCTCCTCCTCCTCCTCATCATGATCATCATCATCATCATCATCATCATCATCATCATCATCATCATCATCATCATCAGCAGCAGCAGCATCATCATCATCATCATCATCATCATCATCATCATCCTCATCATCATCATCATCATCATCGTCATCATCATCATCATCATCATCAACATCATCATCATCATCATCATCAGCATCATCATCATCATCAGCAGCATCATCATCATCATCATAATCATCATCATCATCATCCTCATCCTCATCCTCATCCTCATCCTCATCCTCATCCTCATCATCATCATCATCATCATCATCATCATCATCATCATCATCATCCCTTTCCTACCCCTCCTCCTCAACCTCCTCTTCTTACTCATATTCCAGGCTGGAACCGCATGGACACAGCAGGTTCACGTCGCGATGACGCCGACGTGGTTTTATGACACCACGTGGACCGTTGTACCAGATTCTGGTACACTGCGGGCAATCAACCTGGAACGCCCATGCTGGCCGCCGCCGCGTCAACGCGGCGCGAACCTACCCTAACTGGGGAAGGGAGGAGGAGGAGGAGGAGGAGGAGGAGGAGGAGGAGGAGGAGGACGAGGAGAACGAGAGGGAGAAGGAGAAGGAGGTGAAGGAGGTGAAGGAGGAGGAGGAGGAGGAGGAGGAGGAGGAGGAGGAGGGGGAACGGCAGCAGCTGGGGCGCGATTTTGTTCGACCGAAGCTGCCGAGTGGGCGTGTTGTTGTTTCTGCTTTGGCCTGGGCTGCAGCAGCGCCGACGCCCTGGCAGCCACATCGCGACCGAAATATGTGATGCATCTGGGCAATATCCTAGCGGGCACTTTGCATCACCACTCCAGACAAAAAGTCTGTGGTCAACACAAGACCTGCCTGCGACGAGCCAGGCATGGTCTTTTGAACCGGCCAAACCTACTCTAAAAAGTCTACCAGCTGGAAATGTCATCCGCTCGAACATAAGGCTTGCATGCGAATGCCTAGCATGGGAAGATGAGCACACGTGGTGCAACCATCAAATCCAAACGTACGAGATCGCAAAGAGCGCACTGCACGCGCGTAAGCGTTGCAATTCGCCTATGATGGTACCTTGCGCTGGTGCCAATGAGCTGCCAACTCTGAAACAAAAACTTCAACAGCTTCCGCTTTGTTAGATGTGGCCCCCGAAGCAGCAACCAGCAGCAGGAGGTGAACGAGGAGGAGGAGGCAAAGGACGAGTAGGAGCAACAGAGGAGCAGGAGAAGCCGGAAAAGCAGGAAGGCAGGAGCAGCAGGAGCAGGAGGAGCGTCGGTCGGGCTCTGGCGCAGCTCGTGCCCGTGCCCTCACGGGCACATCTCCCCCTGCATCCCCTCGGCGGCTGCCGGAAGAGGCCCCCCCGAGGTCCCCGAAGACAGCGCGCCTCACTAGCTCCAAGCCGCGGGTGCCGGTCGCGCCTAGGCCCCACACCCGGAACCCTCCTGGCAGCACCAATCGGCCTCGCAGCAGCAGCAGCAGCAGCAGCAGCAGCAACATGAGCCGGCGATCGGCGAGAGCGCCGGGTCGAGCGCTCGGGCGCCAACGCTGCGCAGTGCTCCCTGACTGCTTGCCGTGGCCGACGAGGAAGTGGACGACGACTGCAATCGCAGCGACATGAGGAAGAGGGAACTCAAGGACTCGCACTCATGGAGGCTCACCTTCAGCTTGGGATAGAAGCACTGCAAACATGACAAGCACTGGACGAGAGAACTGCGCAACAAACAGAAAACAAAAAGCTGAGCTGGCAGACCCCAGACGACGCCCAAAAGAACCGCAAGGCGAAAGAGGCGGAACAACGACAACCCAAACAGAAATCACGCCTTTCCCACGATTGCGCTGGGCGAGCCTGATGCCGCGGTTGACATCTGAATCATCACAGTCTCTATATCTCTCTGTCTCTCTCTCACACACTTTCTCTCTCTCTCTCTCTCGTTATCTCTCTCTCTCTCTCTATCCCCCTCCCTCCCTCCCTGGCTATAGATCTGTGTTATCGAAAAAGAAATGAGGCAAGCCCGACTCTGACGGCTCTATGTCAGAGGAAAAAAGAAATGCGAAGCCTGAGCAAAGAGGATGCGGCAAGTCGCAGGCTGGCCCCGATTCCTGAGGGGCAGCGAACAGGGGGACTGGCACAGGGCGGGAAACCTCGACCTGGAATCGGCGATTGGGGTTGATGCATCCCCCCTCCAGTGGAGGCCAGTCCACAAGAAACATTCCACAAGAAGCCCAACCCTGAGACCCCGGGACGTCCATCGACGTTTGGTGGGAACGCCACGCCTTCCGTCGCAAAACCGTCGAGACCCCAAGAAACCCAGGGCACCCTGGAGGCAAGCAGGGTGCTTCTTGGCATGGGCCCCCATCCTTTTTTAGAGGGGGGCATATTCGAGCTCAGTCTCTAGGGCGCAGCCCCTCTTCTACAGAGGGGGAAAGGAGGAGGAGGCGGAGGAGGAGGAGGAGAAGGAGGAGCAGAGGCGAGCTCCGCAAGCTCGCGCGGGCGTCACGGCGGACCGCTGCTGACGCCGCCGGACCGCTGACGATCGTACCCGTCGTCGCCCCCGACCTCTCCGCAGCCCCGCGCGCCTCGCCGCAGACCGGGTCTTCGACGTCGTCGAATCTGCACTCCCGCATCTCCTCGACCACCTCCGTGGGCCCCCCAGCCTCGGGTCGGCGAGCGGGGAGGAGGCACCGACGCTCCAAGAAGCAGTGCGCGCACCTGGGGGGTCGTTGCTTTGGCCGCCGCCGTCCTGTGGTGTGGGGCCCTCGTTTTGGAGAGACAGCGCCCCGCGTCCTCCTCCCCTCCCCTCTAAGCTCTCCTCTCCTCCTCTCCTCCCCCTCCTCCCTCCTCCTCCTCCTGGCCTCTCCCCTCCGCATGTCTCCGTTTCGGCGCACCCAGTGCAGCGCTTCATGGCCCCGTAGGGACCTCCACCGAAGGCCCCAGTGGCAGGGTCCACATGGCGGCGCCTCCCCTTTTGGCGCACCCGTGGCCCCGTAGGGACCTCCACCGAAGGCCCCAGTGGCAGGGTCCACATGGCGGCGCCGCCCCGTTTTGGCGCACCCCTCAAACTGTTCGTAGCCCAGTAGGGAGCTTCACCGAAGGCCCCAATAGCAGCGTCCACATGGCGGCGCCGCCCCATTTTGGCGCATCCCTCACACGGTTCGTTGCCCCATAAGAAACTTCACCGAAGGCCCCAGTAGCAGGTTCACATGGCGGCGCCGCCCCATTTTGGCGCACCCCTCACACGGTTCATGGCCCTACAGGGAACTTCACAAGCCCCAGTAGCAGGGTCCACATGGCGGCGCCGCCCCATTCTGGCGATGGTTCGTTGCTCCATGGGGAGCTCCACCGAAGGCCCCAGTGGCGGGGTTTGCGTAGCGGTGCCGCCCATTCTGGCGCACCCCTCGCACGGTTCGTGACCCCATAAGGAGCTACTCCGAAAGCAGCGCCACAACACGTTATTCACAACTGCGCATGGTTGGGTCTTTCGCCCGGATCATTTGTAACGACAACAGCACCCGCAAGCGAGCGCAACAGGAATGGCGTGAGACAGGCAGGCGGCTAACCTGGGGTTTCTCGTATGTTTGGCTTCTCAGCAATTAACATATGGCCATCGCTCGGACGTCCATTCCCTGTGTATTTTTTCGGTTTTGTGCGTGTTTTCTTTCGCCAAGTGATCAAGGATGTTCCTCGATGGTCCCCGCCGAAGGAAAAATGCACACGTCCGAGCGATGCCAAGACATGGGCTTCTGGGCGTTTGCCAACTTCGCCGCCCGTGGCCACCCGTACGCACGCCGTCTCCTCGTGCGCTGGTCAACGCTTCCGAGTTTTCGCAAAGGTCGACTCCTGTGAACACCAAGGGGCGTGCTAAGTTGCCCTTGGCTGCCACCTGCTGACACCTCGCGGGAACTCCTTGAATTAAGTGGGCGTGTCGCCTGAGCTCATTCGCCTTGGTCGACACTTGTATAAGGCCCCGTGTCGAGGCCAGACTGAACAGCCGGCCTTTTCGTATTGATTCTTCGGTTATTATCCAGAATCGCCGACCCCACAAATGTAGTGATAGCATGCGCAGGAAGGCTGGCGTCGACACCCGCCGTCATCCCTCGCCAAAACTTATGCTGGACGCACGCGCTGATCTGACACATTAGCTTAATTTGAGGGAGTTTCTGTGGAACTCACGTCATCCTCACCCCCGGCGCGAAGAGCACGAGCCCAGAGCGGCCTCCGGCACCGTTTCCGGACGGATCCGCTGGATCCGCTGGATCCGCTGGATCCGGTGACGAATCCCAAACCGGCGCCCTCGCCTGAGACATCCTCACAAAACGGGCCCCGGGGGGGATGCCCAGAGGAGCCCAGAGCGGCCTCCGGCACCGTTTCCGGGACGGATCCGCTGGATCCGCTGGATCCGGTGACGAATCCCAAACCGGCGCCCTCGCCTGAGACATCCTCACAAAACGGGCCCCGGGGGGGATGCCCAGAGGAGCCCAGAGCGGCCTCCGGCACCGTTTCCGGACGGATCCGCTGGATCCGCTGGATCCGCTGGATCCGGTGACGAATCCCAAACCGGCGCCCTCGCCTGAGACATCCTCACAAAACGGGCCCCGGGGGGGATGCCCAGAGGAGCCCAGAGCGGCCTCCGGCACCGTTTCCGGACGGATCCGCTGGATCCGCTGGATCCGGTGACGAATCCCAAACCGGCGCCCTCGCCTGAGACATCCTCACAAAACGGGCCCCGGGGGGGATGCCCAGAGGAGCCCAGAGCGGCCTCCGGCACCGTTTCCGGACGGATCCGCTGGATCCGCTGGATCCGCTGGATCCGGTGACGAATCCCAAACCGGCGCCCTCGCCTGAGACATCCTCACAAAACGGGCCCCGGGGGGGATGCCCAGAGGAGCCCAGAGCGGCCTCCGGCACCGTTTCCGGACGGATCCGCTGGATCCGCTGGATCCGCTGGATCCGGTGACGAATCCCAAACCGGCGCCCTCGCCTGAGACATCCTCACAAAACGGGCCCCGGGGGGGATGCCCAGAGGAGCCCAGAGCGGCCTCCGGCACCGTTTCCGGACGGATCCGCTGGATCCGCTGGATCCGGTGACGAATCCCAAACCGGCGCCCTCGCCTGAGACATCCTCACAAAACGGGCCCCGGGGGGGATGCCCAGAGGAGCCCAGAGCGGCCTCCGGCACCGTTTCCGGACGGATCCGCTGGATCCGCTGGATCCGGTGACGAATCCCAAACCGGCGCCCTCGCCTGAGACATCCTCACAAAACGGGCCCCGGGGGGGATGCCCAGAGGAGCCCAGAGCGGCCTCCGGCACCGTTTCCGGACGGATCCGCTGGATCCGCTGGATCCGGTGACGAATCCCAAACCGGCGCCCTCGCCTGAGACATCCTCACAAAACGGGCCCCGGGGGGGATGCCCAGAGGAGCCCAGAGCGGCCTCCGGCACCGTTTCCGGACGGATCCGCTGGATCCGCTGGATCCGGTGACGAATCCCAAACCGGCGCCCTCGCCTGAGACATCCTCACAAAACGGGCCCCGGGGGGGATGCCCAGAGGAGCCCAGAGCGGCCTCCGGCACCGTTTCCGGACGGATCCGCTGGATCCGCTGGATCCGGTGACGAATCCCAAACCGGCGCCCTCGCCTGATTTGAAAGAGTTTCTGTGGAACTCACGTCATCCTCACCCCCGGCGCGAAGAGCACGAGCCCAGAGCGGCCTCCGGCACCGTTTCCGGACGGATCCGCTGGATCCGCTGGATCCGCTGGATCCGGTGACGAATCCCAAACCGGCGCCCTCGCCTGAGACATCCTCACAAAACGGGCCCCGGGGGGGATGCCCAGAGGAGCCCAGAGCGGCCTCCGGCACCGTTTCCGGACGGATCCGCTGGATCCGCTGGATCCGGTGACGAATCCCAAACCGGCGCCCTCGCCTGAGACATCCTCACAAAACGGGCCCCGGGGGGGATGCCCAGAGGAGCCCAGAGCGGCCTCCGGCACCGTTTCCGGACGGATCCGCTGGATCCGCTGGATCCGCTGGATCCGGTGACGAATCCCAAACCGGCGCCCTCGCCTGAGACATCCTCACAAAACGGGCCCCGGGGGGGATGCCCAGAGGAGCCCAGAGCGGCCTCCGGCACCGTTTCCGGACGGATCCGCTGGATCCGCTGGATCCGCTGGATCCGGTGACGAATCCCAAACCGGCGCCCTCGCCTGAGACATCCTCACAAAACGGGCCCCGGGGGGGATGCCCAGAGGAGCCCAGAGCGGCCTCCGGCACCGTTTCCGGACGGATCCGCTGGATCCGCTGGATCCGCTGGATCCGGTGACGAATCCCAAACCGGCGCCCTCGCCTGAGACATCCTCACAAAACGGGCCCCGGGGGGGATGCCCAGAGGAGCCCAGAGCGGCCTCCGGCACCGTTTCCGGACGGATCCGCTGGATCCGCTGGATCCGCTGGATCCGGTGACGAATCCCAAACCGGCGCCCTCGCCTGAGACATCCTCACAAAACGGGCCCCGGGGGGGATGCCCAGAGGAGCCCAGAGCGGCCTCCGGCACCGTTTCCGGACGGATCCGCTGGATCCGCTGGATCCGGTGACGAATCCCAAACGGGCGCCCTCGCCTGAGACATCCTCACAAAACGGGCCCCGGGGGGGATGCCCAGAGGAGCCCAGAGCGGCCTCCGGCACCGTTTCCGGACGGATCCGCTGCCCAGAGGCCCACCAGAGCCATAAAACAAGATATTATCTATTTTTCTAGAGCCGAGCACATGATAATCAAGATAATAGCATTGGAATTTAGAGAATATCTAAAATACAACTCTTGATTCTTTTTAAAAATGAGATTTCTCTTAATATTTAGAGATGCGGCTGTAGATTCTAGATATTTCTTAATATGATAAAATCTAGAGACGGCTATCTCTAAAATCAAGAGTGCGGCCCCGATTCGGCCCCGCTTGGTGCGGCATGCTCAAAATAAAAGGAGGATGAAAGGGGGAGGGGAAGGGGGAGGAAAAGGAGGAGGAGGAGGAGGAGGATGAGGAGGAGGAGGAAGAGGAGGACGGAGGAAGGAAGGGGGAGTTGGAGCTGGAGGGGTAGGGGCAGGGACAGGAGTAGGAGGAGTTCCCTGGGGGAGATGGGGGTGCGTATCGCGAAGCGATAGTGATTTGCATGCTACTTGTTCATTCTACTTCTCAGCTACACCCTCGTGTGCGAAGCATACGATCAGCCACTTCACAAGCAAAACTCCTGCCATGGTTCGGGGGTGCAGGGATCTGGCGGCCTCGATACACAGGCCGACAAGGTCTTCGTCCCCATAGCACCAGTAATATGATGCGTTCCCCCACTCTGCCTGCTGCCATTCGCAAGAGTGCTGTACAAGGTGGCATTTAGGGGTTGCTTTCCACATTCGCACACCCGATCTGAGCGCCTCATCGTGGAGCCAATGGTAAAACAACATGAGCTTACTGCCAACATCTGCCAGCTCTGCCTTGGCATGCTCATTATAGAACATTGGGTTTGACGCCATTATGCGATAGAAGTCGGATGCTGCCTCTGCTAAGGCCAACCTCATTTGATCATGGTCTGTTCCAGTATTGAAGCGCCGACACAAATCCACAAGATATGGTGCGAGATGCCTGGCGCCAGCTCCCTTTGCTTTCAGCTTA